TAATAAACTAAGGATAACTTTGGGAAGAATGAGAATTCCAGAACACTTCATCTGCTCATGGGGAATCTTTACACAGATTAAGAGGCAGTCATTTGAACAGAACAAGAGGATAGATACTACATGGTTTAAAATCAGGAAAGGGATCCATCTGGGTTATATATATCCTTTTACCATATTTATTCAATATGTATGCTGAGCAAATAATCCCAGAAACTTGAATAGATGAAGAATGTGGCGCCAAGATTGGAGGAAGTTTCACTAACAATTTTCATCTGCAGATGACAAAATCTTACTCCCTAAAAGTGAAGAGGAATTGAGGCAATTGCTAATAATCAAAGACTGCATAGAGCCTTCAATATGGATTTTAACATGCTGTAAAGAAAACAAAAATGCTCACAACTGGACTACTAACCAACATCAGGATAAACAGAAAAGATTGAAATTGTCAAGTATTTCATTTACTTGAATCCACAATCAATGCTCATGGAAACAGCAGTCAGGTAATCAAAGAACACACCACAGAATGCTAAACCAAAAGGGCAGCATTTACCTAAGGACAAAGTTCAGAAGGGTGGGGAAAGAAGGAAGAATGCAAACAATAAACACAAGGAGGAAGTGACATAAGTGATGTGCCACTGAAGGGATTGCAGTGATTGAGATGAAAGGAAGTATGTGATTTGCTGAATATAAAACTGATGATGTGCTCTGTAAACCTTCACTCAGTTCTCAATAAAAAGAAATCCAAAGGACATACTGCATTAGGCAAATCTGCCTCAAAAGACATCTTTTAAATGTTAAAGAGATCCAAGAGCCATGGTACTAACAATTGCCTCATATGCATGTAAAAGAATAATGAAAAAGGAAGACTGAAGGAGAATTGATGCATTTGAATTACGGCTTTGTTGTTGTTGTAAAGTGCCCTTCAGTGGGTTCCTACCCATAAGGGCCCTGTAGAGGGTTTCTGAGGAGCCTATACTGAGCTTGAACCCCTGACCTTGCAATTTAAAGGGCTTTGCCATCTGGCGCATTAACCCACAAAGCCACACCAGGACTCCTGTTTGTTGTTGTTGTTGTTATGTGCCCTGGAGTTGGTTCCATCTCACAGTGACCCTTGTACAGGGTTTCTGAGGCTATAAATCTTTAAGGGAGTAGAAAGCTTCATCTTTCTCCCGTGGAACAGCTGGTAGTTTCGAACTGCTGATCTGAACTTTTGCAGGCCGATTCGTAACCACTACGCTACCAGAACTCCTTTCCTATGGTGTTAGGGGAAGGATATTGAAAGTACCATGGGCTGGCAGAACAAACAAATCCATCTTGGATGGGAGAATGTCCAGTAGAAATAAGGATGACCAAGATTTGGTCTCTTGTACGCTGGACATGGTGTCAGAAGGGACCAGACCCTGGAGAAGGACAACATGCTTGGTAAAATGAAAGGTCAGCAAAAAAGAGGAAGACCCCCAACTAGACAGATTGACACAGTGGCTGCAACAATAGGGTCAAACATAACAGTTGTGAGGATGGCACAAGATCTGGGAGTGTTTCCTTCTGTCGTGCATACAGTTGCCTAGAGTCAAAGCCATGTCGATAGTGCCCAACAACAGATTAAAAATTCATAATAAAATATGTAATATCACTAGTATAATAATGTACATTTCAGCAAACTTATCACAGCTATGTATTTCCAACTTTTAAAACAAGAAAGAAAAATAAAATAGCAAGCTATTCCACAAACAACTTGATAACCATTATGTTCCTATCCCAGTGCAGTTTATTCATAACTTCATGTATTCTTACTTAAACTATGTGAGCAAAGAACCATTCCAAGGTAAGTATTTTAGCAAAATCAAAGTGACTATTTTAGCAAACCTAAATTATAAAGACCAAAGGACAGAAATAAGAAATAAATACTTTCAACATGTGTGTATGCAAAGCAAGTCACTTAATTTCTCTGAGTCTCAGTTTTCCAAACTAAAATTAGAAGAGTTGTTTAAGTGTCATTGAGTCAATTCCGACCCATAGCGACTCTGTATAGGGTTTCCATGGAGCAGCTGGTGAACTGGAACGCTGACCTTGCAGTTCAATCGGCTTTACAGTCTGGCGCATTAGCCCACAGTGCCACACCAGGACTCCCAAATAAGAAGAGTAGAACTGTCTAATTTAGTTATACTGTTGTACAAAACTTAAGCAGTTCAAGTTGATCTCAAGAAGAATGCAAAGAAACACTTGGCAATTTCAGCAAGAGTCTATTTGGCATTTAACACTCTGGGATGTGGAATTTGTTCTGGAAGTGGCATCATGCTCTAGAGATGAGTCAAGAGACCTCAAGCAAGGTTTGCAAACCAGAAAAGTTCATACCTGTATAAACACAGGGTGGAAAGAAATGCTAATACACCATATTTTTCACAATATTACAGTAAATACCATTATCAGTAGTAGCTTCAGATTCAGAAATTAAATTATTATGAGCATAGAACTAGGAGCCCTGGTGGCACCATGGGTTAAGCTGTCAATCAAAAGCTTTTATCCCTGGATAAAAAATAAGATTGTCTACTCTCATAAAGATTTACAGCCTTGCAAAAAGTATGGCGCAATTCTACCCTATTCTACAGGGCTGCTATGAAAATCAACTTGATTGTTGTTGTTAAGTGCCGTTGAGTCGGTTCCAACACATAACAACCCTGTATAGGGTTTCCAAGGAGCAGCTAGTGAGCTTGAACCACCTACCTTGTAGTTCAAACCGACTTTGCAGTCCAGGGCATTAACCCACAGCAGCACACCAGGACTGTGGATGTGGCTAAAACCTATTTTCTTTAATATGGTTAAGTAACAAATTTGATAAGTAATATGTTTAAGCTTTTGGGACCCATTAAAAATAATTTGGGAGCACACTGATTTTCTACTCTACACAGACATTTTGCTAAACTCTATCATTACCATTGAAGGAGCTCCGGTACCATAGTGGTTGAGAATAGGGCTGCGAACCACAAGGTCAGCAGTTCGAAACTACCAGCAGCCTTGGAACTCAATGAGTCGGAACCGACTCCATGGCACTTAACAACAACAACAGAATCATCATTCCCATTAAGGAGCTCTGGTTGTTGTTGTTAAGCGCCGTCGAGTCGGTTCCGACCCACAGCGACCCTGAACAGGTTCGCAGCCCGATTCGTAAGGTAGCAGTTAGTCGGAACCGACTCCATGGCACTTCACAACAACAACAACAGAATCATCATTACCATTAAGGAGCTCTGGTTGTTGTTGTTGTGAAGTGCCGTCGAGTCGGTTCCGACCCATAGCGACCCTGAACAGGTTCGCAACCCGATTCGTAAGGTAGCAGTTACTAATCAGGTTGCGAACCTTAAGGTCAGCAGTTTGAAACTACCAGCTGTTCCGCGGGAGAAAGATGAGGCTTTCTACTCCCGTAAAGATTTACAGCCTCGGAAACCCTGTAAAGGGTCGCTATGGGTCGGAATCGACTCGACCGGCACTTAACAACAACAACAACATCATTAACATTGATGTTGCTAGGTACCCTTGAGTTGGTTCTGACTCAAAACAACCCTATGTAGGGTTTCTGAGGTTGTAAATTTTTACAGGAGCAGAAAATCTCATCTTGAAAAATAGAGATCCAATGCTAACGTTATCCCAGTTTCAGACACATATACATTCCCATCATATTGTTACTGACTTAGCACGTGACATGTACAAGGATGTTTATATATATATATCCTTTGAGCATTATCAGATCTCCACTTCATGAAAATATTTCCACTCAATTACCCAAGACCATTTCAGACTCATAGCAACCCGATAGGTCAAAATAGAACTGCCCTGTATGATTTCCAAGTTTTTACAGAAACAGATTGCATCTTTATCCCAGCGATCTGCTGCTGGTGGGTTCAAACCATCGACCTTTCTGTTAGAGTAGTTCTTTTGCCACTGTGCCACCAAAGGCTCCTTCATTCAGTTATCAGAGGTGACAAATTTACATGGATTCATTTCAGTGGCTAAAGCATTCAGAAGTCTCTATTAAAATGCAAATACCTCCTGAGAAAAGTAACAAGTTACACCTTATCATTTACTCATTCAATTCTCAGTATGGAAAACTAAGAGTTTCAGATACTCTTAGAGGTTTTAGTAATTAAAAGAGAAGATAAAATCCTGAGAGTGCCAAAGATTTGGGAAAGGGGGTGGGAGAAGCCCTTATGGGCAGTCTTCTGTCTTAAAAGTTGTTGTCGTTATGTACCGTGGAGTGGAGTCGTATCCGACTCATAGCGATTCCAAGGCTGTACATATTTACCGGAGCAGAAAGCCTCATCTTTCTCTTACAGAGCGGCTGGTATATTCGAACTACTGACCTTGAGGTTAGCAGCACAGCTCTTAATCCACTACGTTACCAGGGCTCCTGTATATATACACTGAGTCCCGGTATGGCGCTGTGGGATAAAGCACTGAACCAAGAAGGTCAGTGGTTCAAACTCACCAGCCTCTGCTCGAAAACCAGATATTCTACAGTGTCGCTATGTGTTTATATCTATTATACACACACACACACACACACACACATTGATTATAGACAATGAAGAGCCACTAATATATATAAGAAATTAATATTTTCTAGCCTGACATTAAGACTTGAATTCTAAATCTCTCCCCTGAAAGGCTTTTTCAAAGTGCTAAAACTAGGCACAACAAATCTACCAAAACGAGCAATAGTTCCCAGCAGCGTTATTTAAAAAGATGACTTTGAGGCACTTTCCTCAGGATATATATACTCCAGAGCCCATTGGGACAACTTTCCCAGTTCTATAGACATGGAAGTACTGTAAATAAGCAAACACCTAAAAACAAACTTTGTTGGCCACCAGCAGGGGAGCTCTTCTGCTTTTGTCCCCTAACCCATTCAAACAAAAGAAGCTCCTCCGTCCCACCCCTCGGACCCACACCCTGCGGGGACCCGTCGGGATCCCAGCGTCCTTCCCAGCTCCGCCAACCCTACTTACTCCTTAGCGCCCCGATGAGCAGAGAGCCGTCCTTAATGAGCTCTTTAATAAACTTGTTGGTTCGCTCCAGCTCAATCTCGTGACACTGCAGGCGCTCTCTGAAATCCGGGCTATCCAAGTAGGAATCGCTAAACTCCAGAGTAGGTAGCCCCATGGCACAGGCACAACCAGCGGCGACCGGGGACACGACCCGGCCGGCGATCAGGGCGACGGCAGCCGGCGATCGCGGCAGGCGCTGGGGACACGCGATCGCTGGGAACTCGCCGGGACGCGATGCGAAGGCGCAAAGGAAACGGGCCCCCGCGCGCCGAGCCGCACCGCGCAGCCTGCGCCGGGCTTTCGCGGCGCGCGGACGCCTCCAAGCTCAGTCTTCCTCCCCCGAGGCGCGGCGAGCGCTGACGGCCAACCGAGGCGCGGGTCTGCTCAAGTCGTTGTCATGAGGACGCATCGTCGCTCAGGGTACTGAAGCTGCGAGGCTCCGGGCCGCGGCCGGAGCAGTAAAGTTTTTCTCGCGGCGCGCAGACACTTCCGGCAACTCCGCTCTGCTACTCTCTTGACAGTCGTTTGTGCAGTGAGCCAGAAGCGCCCAGCAACAATTCTGGCCGGGCAGGGGAAACCCTCCCCCTCTGTGGACGCAGGCTCAGATAGCTTGCAAATCGGGCCCTGGCTCGGAGACCCTCCTCCCAGTCGCCGCGCTCTCACCTCTTGCCACCCCGCCCCTTCGCCCATTTACCCTCCTGCCCCCACCCACCGTCAGGCACTTTGCTCCCGGCGCTGCCACGGCGCGTTGCGCTCCTACCTTGGCCCCGGTCGTTAACCCTCCCTTCTCCCAGGCGCAAAGCTCCAAGTCACCGATGGTCGCCAGTTGGGGTTTTCAGCTCCACGAAAGGATCTCACACCCTCTACCCTTACTCCCCATCACCCACACCTTAGGAATTGTCTGGTAGAGAAAGTCATACGAACTTTCCCTAAAGTTTGGAGTATCTAATTTTGAAGCCTAGGAGGAAGATTTTACTTTACACTTCTCAGATTCAAAGATCTCTTTCCTACCCTTCATACTTCGTTGATCCAGGAAAGGAGAAGTTTTCCTAATTCTAGAAGAAAAGCTTCCTAGGCCTTGTTTTGTTTTATTGTTTTCCAAGTTTCTGGGAAGTTGGGAAGATTTTAGATCATCCTTATACCCTAAATACATACTTCGGGCTTAGGTTCTTCTACTTCTGGAAGAGTACTTCTTAGAGTCACAAATGCTGGTTGGTATCTTTTATAGGCACATGGAGGGAATTATAGAAGCATGAAGTTTTTTAAATGGTTAAAGTGGTCTGGAGTTTTGAATGAAGGATGTGTACAAAGAGGCAGTTTACTCCTTCCCTGGTAGATGCTCACTTAATAAATTTCTGTTCTCTTGCAATAATAACAGAAAAAGAAATTACTGCTTTACATCTGCCCTGCCACCATCTATAGGGTTTCTGAGAACTCAGTTATTTTTCTTACGGATCTGCTTTTAATTTCTATGTTTTCGTTGCTTTGTCCATTCGAACCATCTGTTAAAAAGCTCTATTCAACAAGGCATGGGAAAAATTCCATTAAAGTGTTTTACATTTTTCCCAGTTAAGTTTTAGGGGCTGTCAAATTTTACTTTCAAATGGATAAAAAAAAAAAAAAGCAGTAAGATTAAAAATAGAATGCAAATCTTTGAACTAAGCAGATAGGATTATTTTAATAGTATATTTGATTACTTAACTTAAATTCTTTTGGGCAGAGATTGGATTTTAAAAACACCCATCCACATTTGCATCATTATTCCCCAACATATTGGCAGAGTGGCCTATCACTAATGGTTAGAATCATTTTAACTCCAAGTGTCTGACTTATGTCTGTAAGTCAAATACTCTTAGTTTGAGGGACAATAGTGATGCTTGTCAGTTTACGATGCATCATAAAAAGTTGTGGAACTATTATTCACCTAAGGTGATTTTACATCTATTCATTGCACAACCTTAAAAACATTTTTTAAAAAACAAAAAAACAGGCCAAACAAATAGTTTCCTTTCCATTTTTGCCATGTTGCTGTTCCAAAGAACTAAACCTAATGCCCAATGCTCAGATATGAAGGAGGATAAAATGTAGCAATCTTCTTGTTTTTCATTAAACCAAGATCCTGTGATTAATTTTTAATGCATCAATAATTTTTGATAAGCAGTATTTTAATATGTTGGGTGTCACTTTTCATTTTTAAAAGTCTTACATGCCAGTATAGATTTATTCTAGATTCCAGATGTTGTGTTGTTAAGTGTTGTTGAGTGGGTCCTGACCCATAACAACCCTGCATAGGGTTTCCACAGAGCTACTGGTGAATTTGAACCACCAATCTTGCAGTTCAGACCAACCTTATGGTCAAGTGCTTATCCTACAGTACCACACCAGGACTAGAGGGGACTATTTACCTACCTGTATATATAACTATAGCGTAGTGGTTACGAATCGGGCTGCAAACCTTAAGGTCAGCTGTTCGAAACTACCAGCCGCTCCGCTGGAGAAAGATGAGGCTTTCTACTCCCGTAAAGATTTACACCCTCAGAAACCCTGTACAGGGTCGCTATGGGTCAGAACCGACTCGATGGCATTTAACATTCATCATTCAACATATATAACTATATGGTTTGGCTCTGTCTACACTAGTAGCAGCTGCCTGGAGAAGGGGTTTATAAAAAGATAAGTAAAGCAAAGCATAGTGCCTATCTTCAAAAAGTTTTCAGAATAATCCATCCACATACAGTCAGCTGGTCTTTTACAAAAGGCCAAAACATATTTAATGGGTAAGAGATAGTCTCTTCCACTTGAGGGGGACCAAAAGGAATAGCCAGAAACATCACCATAGAAAGCTTGTAATTCCATCTTCAGCCTCTAATTGATTGGAATACCTAAAATAGGGTCAGAACTTGCCCAGTGAATGAGGCTTCCTATGGAGTCTTCGCATTGCATAAGACCATAGGTTGAATCCTGATCCCTATCCAGAATCTTCTGAGTTGAGAAATTTCCACTTGAAAGGACAAGCAGAGCAGCCTGAAGTGGCTAGAAGAAGATAATTTTCTTCCAGAAGATAATTCTGGAAAGAAAGACCAGCAGAAAAAATAAAAAACAATAATGACAGTCCGACTGACCAACTACTACAAGAACAAGCAAGTTGTTCTCAGGGGAGCCAAGAAGGCAAGTGGTCAAGGCCCCTCAAAGCAAAACCCCATCTAAGACTGAGACTCAAGGGGAATACATGAGCAGGCATGTGGTCTTGCTGGTGGCCACATTGGTCTACCGATAAGGGGAAGTGGGGGAAAAACAGCGATGAAGTTGTGAGCTAAGTCCGACCACGTTCAATAGACTCCTGTCAACTTGGATTGAGACCTGGTTGGCCAGCAGTATGGCAAGACCTGGGGACTCCTGGGCCCAGAGACACAGACATGGCTCCAGAGAACTAGGGTGGAGAGTAAAGCATCCAGCTTATATGAAGTGAGAGGAGATGCACAAGAACACCCATACTTGCAGATAGTATCCATTTGACCTGGCTTCAATGGCTGGATGATCAGAACTTGACAGGACAAAGAAAGAGGAAAAAAAGAGTAATTCCGCTACAATTTGATGAACTTGACTTATACCTACGGATGTAGTAGATCAAAAGAGGGAATGAGTCTTTACATCGAGGATCATTCCCACCCTCTCGGTACACAGGGTTGACAGGGATGGGCAACTTAGACATTCGCTACCCAAAATGGTGGGGAGGAGGGGGCTTACAAAGGCACAAAATGACTAGCTTACAAGCTTTCAAGAGGTAGCCTAGTTTCAAAGGGTACAGGGGAAGGTAGAATCTCCACTGAGTGGTTTCCAACCTGCTGGATGAGGCTGGTGAAAGGAGATGGGGATATGACTCTGTGATTCAATCGTAAATAATTGCTATCAGGACTGACTGTGAGTGTTGCTAATGTAAATGTAGACATTTTATAACAAAAGGAAGGGAGTGCTGATCTTACAGTCCAGGAACAGAGGACCCTGGGACCATCAAGGGAGCAGAGTGGAGAAGCAGTGACACAAGAGATGGGGGCAGAGATAATGAAGTGGAGAGATAGAGCGGCTGGGGTCTCTGGACTCAGGGAGGGAGAGGGGCTGTGTGCTGACAGCAGGGGGGCAGGCTTGCGGGGTGTACCCTTTGGTTATTTGAATGTTTATGTATTTCTGAGTGCTTTCGTGTACATAAAAAAAAAGGGGGGTGGGAATGGAAGCAAATGCTGTTGAACAATGATGCATGGATGGGATGGTAATCATTGCAATGAAACGAAATATAATAGGATGAACGTAAACTATCACTCAATTCACAATTAAAAATTTTTAAAAAGAGAGAGAGATAGTCTCTTCAACAAATGGTTCTGGAAAAACTGGAAATGTATTTTCAAAAGAATTAAAACAAGACCAATATCTCACACCATATACAAAACCAAACTCAACATGAATGAAAGACCTAAATGTAAAACCATAAAGAAAACAAGTGGAAAAATAGGGACAATATGGCACTCTAATACTGTGCTGCAGGATAATGCACTAGACCACAAGGTCAGTTTAAACCACAAGTTTGGTGGTTCAAATCCCCAGTCGCTGTTCAGAAACCCTATACAGGGTTGCTATGGGTCGGAACTGACTCAATGGCACTTAACAACAACCATAACAATACACAGCATAAGAAACTCTGGTGGTATAAAGGGTTATGTGTTGGGCTGCTAACTGTAACATAAACAGTTCGAGTCCACTAGACTCTGTGATAGAAAGATGAGGTTTACTGCTTCCATAAAGATTAAAAGCCTCAGATCCTATACGCGATCACTATGAGTTGGAGCCGACTCCACGGTACAAAACCACCACCAATACATGGCATGGACTCTTGGTGTGGCACTGTAGGATCAGTACTGCTCTGTGAACCACAAGATCAGCAGTTCAAACCCACCAGCTACTCCTCAGAAACTCTACACAGGGTTGCTATGAGTCTTAACTGACTCGATGGCATTTGACGACAACAACAACAACAATACATGGTATACATACACTACCAAACATTACAATAAAGGCACAAGCAGTAGAAGACAAACAGATGACTGGGACCTCTTAAAAATT